ACCCGGGGAAACCAAACCCAACCCGCGGCCGCACTGACCTGTCCGCAGCGTCCCCTTCTGCAGCCGGAGCCTTGGGCGATTCCAGGGGCCGGAAGGCGGCGGCGGCGCGGGGGTCGGCCTTGTTGTGAGGGGTTAGCGCAGTAGCAGCATCTGGAAGCGGAGGCAGCGTTCTGATCAGCTCTCCACCCGGAGCTGGCAAACGTTCTCTTTAAAAAGGAACTTGGAGGAAACGTTAAGACCTCGCAAAGACGGCTTTTCGATGGAGACGAGCGTAATTTTCGAGCTTCAGATTTAAATACAAATCCCTGTAGCTTGGACCGCGCTGGGGAAGCTAAAGAGCCACCGAGAGGGCCAGCTGAGGAGAGGAGGACGGGCTGTGCGCAGCTGCGTACCGGCTGGGTTTCCTCACAGCCAAACTCAGAGCTAAAGGGAACGTTTCAAACCTCCCGAAACAACGGAACAGGAACATCAGCCGCTGCTCGGATCTGCCGGGCCCTGACACCAGCGCTGACGACCGACACCGTTTCGCGAAATAAAGGATTTCAGCAAAACCGGCACGGCCACACAGAATCGCCCGCCTTCGCCCGCGTCGGGGTGCTCAGCTGCGAGTCGCTTGGTGTCCTGGCTGCGCAGGGAAGCAGGAGGAAGGGAAACGAGCAGCCCTGGAAGGGGCGGGAGCCGTACGCAGCGGAACGAAGGGCAGCCGAGCTGTTCCGGGCAGCGCTTCACGGCTCCCAGCACGGATTTTTGGCACTGAGAACCCGTCTCGCTTGGGAAGGCTCCGGTTAATAGCTGTGCCGTTAGCGAGAAGGTTTACAGCAGCTATCCCCGACCACCCCAGACCACAATTACGCTTTCTCCAGCTACACGCGCCAAACTGACGTCCCGCTTTTGCCAATACCAGTAACGTTTCTAAAACCATTTTTTCACGCGGTCGAACTGCTCAAACGACATCTCCGCTTCTCAGGACAGCGCAATACCGAACGCCCCGCTGGCCCGCCCTGCCGGCAGGCGCAGTAGAACGAAACGGATCCAGCTCTCCGTTCCGCTTGCTCTGCTCTAGGAGCTTTCTGGGCCCCCCCGCGTCGGCCAAGGCCACCTGTTTCGAACGACGACAGCTTTGTAACCGGGACGCGCCACCCGCAAACGCTACTGAAGCGCTACGAGGCCACCTCCCTTTCGGACGCAGCTCTCCTCCCCCAGCAAGGCTTAACTGCCTGAACCGTCCCGCGGCAAGCGGCCAGCGCTGCCAAACCCAGAG